CCCCAAAACCCCAAAACCCCAAAACCCCAGCTTAATCAAACCCCAGAATATATTAAAAAGTCACCAAGTGCCAAATATAGAGAAAACAGGATTTTAACCAAAGTAGTAAAAATAAGAAAATTAACCAAAATTTAATATCCATCAATTATTTTTACTCCTCCAAGCTGGTTTTCTTCAAAGACTTGTTCAGCTTTGTTTTTCTTTACTCCGCATTCAGAGACATTTACTTTTCCAAGACTCAATCTTAAATCTGGAGAGCTTGCTAACCCTTGTACCAAGTTCTCGAACTCATCTAAGTTGTTCTCCCAATCACTTCTAGCCAGGTTTCCTGATGCTAATAAATTTATTTCCTGGATCTGGCAATTCTTCAGAGCCTTTGACAAATCAGGAGCATTTGGGATAGATAGCCTGCAATTTCTCAATACCAAAGTTCTCACATGCCTGAAAGCTGCCACCAACCTCTTCAGTTGGGGCAGGCCGATGCTGAAATGTCCAAAGCAAACTTCTCGAACGACTTTGGAGCTGAGTCCGGTCAGGGAGTTTAAGTAGTTGGGCCTTTTCAGATCCATATGACAACTGGATCAAAAAGTGAGTTTCTTAATTTTATTTGGGAATGAGGATTGTAAGAAATTTAAAACAAAACGCCTATTTTTAGAATCAATCCCATCCAAATAAAGTCAATCTATATCAAAAAACTTAAGACACTTCAAACTTTTCAAAAGTTTTTCAGCTCTGATTTCGTCCACCCAAATGTAAAGTAAACTGTTTGCTGAAACTTCTTCGGAGTCTAGATCCAATGGCTCAATTTTTTCATCTTGAAGAACCTTATAGAAGATGCTCTGACATGTGGTGACCTCTTGCTCCTTGGCTTCTTCCAGGGCAAACTTCTCTAGGCTGCACAATTAGAGGTGGACGGGGAGGTAGGTCAATGTCAGAATCCGTCAGAAAGTTGGAGATGAAAGGGTGCTAATTAAAATTTTGAGAAATCCCAGGTTTAAGTCTTTAGGAGAAATGTTATCTGTGGAGGTCTCAAATTAATCTAAGAGAGGTGAGGCTTATAAACTCTTTCTAGTTTTGCTATGACTATCTCGGCCAAGAAATTTTCGGTGAAATTATTATAAAATTTGGTAAATTTTGGTTAAGCTTTAAAATTTTGGAATTTGTTACAAATTTAAGAGTGAAAACTCAGAGTTCTCTAAACTGAATTTACAGTTACCTGACTTTCTTAATATTTTCTTCTTCGATAGCTTCAGTAAGAACTTCCATTTTATTATTATAAAACTTAATTTTAAATTTTATTTTTCAATATATCTGCAGAGGAGTGGGGTTTTGGGGTTTTGGGGTTTTGGGGTTTTGGGG